AATTTGGCCATTTTATGTTGATTCAGAGCTTCATTTCATTCTAGGAGATAAATGAGACAAATTTCATTCTGCTTTCAGTCATTAATATTCACTCATTTTCACAAACATGATCTTTTTTAATGCACCAGGAACAGAATAAAAACACTTTCCCTGAACTTGATTGCTAACCTTAACAAAAAGACGAGAAATAATAGAAACGTGATTAAATCTGAATAATGATGAGGATGCAGGTCAAAACCGTGTCAGGGTTTTATCACAGAAAATTAATCACTATCATAGAATTGGAGAATCCATTGTACTATGATGAACTATAATTAGTGGTTGGCCTTGCCGATATATCGGCCGATATTTTAATTTTTTTTAAATTATCGGCATTAACCAATCATTTTTTTCTGTTTGGACAATATGTCGCAAATGGGAAAGTCTTTATTTTTACAGATTTATTTTTCAATTCTTTACATTTCATTTTCAAATTAAATAATTTAGTAAATATTATGTAAAATAAATACAGGTTTAATTTCAGCAAAAGTCAAACAGAGTGATGATATATCATACATATCGGCTTTTTATCGGCCTCCGTGCTTTCTAAGATCCCGTCAAAACATCCACATCTGCACAAATGCAGCTGATCTTCAGTATTTCTGCATGTAACACATCATCTGAAGAGGACTGAAGCGCACCGATGCTCAGCGGCTGAGGCAGAACCACAGCGCTTCAAGATAAAACACCTGAAATAACGCACCTCAACACAAAGCCGTGTGAATTCAGGGCGCTGATAGTCGTGGAATCTTGGCTCGGTCGGGACGCGTGGCCGCCTGCCATCTCACAGGGAGAACACACTCAACCAACAGCAGACAATGAGATTAACAAACACTATTTTATTCTGAGCCTCCAAACCCAAGCGCTCTCCACTGAGACCGACTAAACGCTGCCGTCCTGCCCAAACAGATGCCGTTTCATTGTCACGGCCAGACACTCTCAGCTCAAGAAGTCTGTGGGATCGTGTTCATTTGGGAGTACAGTGGTAGAAACGGGCAGAGCGCTGACACGGACAGTCGGACACACCCTGCTCGACCTCCGGGTCACAGGAGAGCGGCCGGCCCCACAAACCCCCGGATGAGGATTCACACTGACCTTCTTCAGTCTGATATGACTGAGACTTGAACCTGTTACTGTGACAAACACAGCTGGAGAGACAGACACACAGTAATACTCAATCATAACTTCAAATGACTGAACCGCATCATTTTCATCAGAATAACCACAGCCCTGAGCTTCACGCAGAACTACAACAACCGCACATTTATTCCGTTGCGATGACATGTATCTCCATCTCAGCCGCTTATTACTGATGAGCGCAATTATTGAAATCAGCAAAGCACGGAGATCACACCCTCATATTCAACACTCGCATTCAGCTGATCAATGACTTTATACGCGTGCATTAGAGAAGTTTAGCGGAGTGACGTCACCA